TACCAAAATTGCATGGCATATTAAAACAAAAAATGAGTTATTTTGGAAGTACTTGACCATTAATTAGCATGTACACAAACACATACCCCACATACACAAACCTGCAAATATTCTTGAAACAAACTCTCAACAGCAATATTCTTCCCCTTCACGCTAATTCAATTTAAAAACACTTGTTTGGCTAGCATTCCCTTCTAATGATGTAACTTTCAAATCCAATTCTTATTTAACTTAAAACTTCCTAACTTTTTTAGTACATTTGACTTCTGCCTATTCACAGGTGCAAAATGTGACAAGAAGCTGTTAGAAAGAATACACAAGAGAAACAAAACTGAAAATATTTTGTTTTAAAATAGCAACTAATTAAATCAAACTGTATATCTTACTTGTTAATTTAAAATTAACTAACAGTTTAGCTCTGGTGAAGCCTTCCTCTCTCATAGTTTCCCTACTAACTACCAAAAGCAAGCTAAAATTCTATGGGCTGAAATATAATTTCAGAGTTCTTTCCTACATTTCATTCTGTTTCCTCCATTTTTACTTGACATGAAATGTCATGCAGATATCACTACATTTGCTAGCAAGAATCCATTAAATTTTTTCAATATATCACAATTTATTTATTTTTTGGGACAACTGTGTGATATCTCTTGAGTAATTCATTTTGCTAAAGGAAATTATTTTGCTTTTTCAGGTTGGAAAATTATATCCCAATGAAAAAAATATTCTGTCAGTAGGTTTGGATAACAGTAAGAAGTTAAAACTATGTAAATATTTTTATTAAATCCACTCAATTAGAACATAAACGGTTCTCAACTAAACAACAACACCCTGAAAGAAGAATTATAATGGGCATGTAATTAGATTGCATATTGACAAAAAAATGACAGTTCATGTAAGTAAGGAACTAAATTCAAGCAAATGATTCTTTATGCAAAATACTTCCAAACCCTTGAGATTGACCAAACAAATAATTATTAGCATACAAGTAATTGAACACTGAAATGACAATAAATTTACTTCTAAATTTTGCATTCAAAGTGCTGCATTTTCAATAAGATACAATTTATTTTGTATATAATGTTATGAATCAGCCTCAAAGTTTTTATATTTGGATTGAAATTACTACAGAGTCAACTTGAAAAGTAAATTTCAGCCCATAATGCAAATGCTTTGTGAACAGTTTAGTTTACAAAAGCAACAAAGCAGAAACAAATTGCATAAAAGCACCTGGATGCAGTTCTGGCAGGTGGGTAGAGGATTCACTGGATTAACAAAAGGAGAGTCGAGGTACAATTCAGGACATCGTCAAGTTGTGATTCTTTTGGGCGGATGATGGTCTCCACAGTAGAACACACTGGGATTCAGAGTGGATCATGCAGGTTCAAGAGTAGTCCACCACCATAATTTGAACTTAAAACAGTGAAAAGTTTTAAACACCATGATGTTGTATTGCCTAGACAGCATTTTCCAAAGTCTAAAAGGCCACACTAACAATTTCAAACGTACTAATGGGTTTTATAGAACTAATGTACAGGAAAATATAAAATAATTTCCATAAAAACATTTTAATTAGTAATTTAAATTACGAATAGAAAATATTCATTCCCCATCCAGTATCTAAATATCTCTCATTGCAAAAAATTGTGTTTTATTTATTTATTTATTTATAATTTGAAAATATTGTTCCTATTCCAGTTGTTTTAAAAGATTTTTTTCCACCTTAGCTTGAAACATATTTTTCAATAAAACTGCTTATCTAAGATGCCAATGAATACTTACTACTCAGGCATGAAGTCGTTCTCCACTTCCTGCCTTTTGCGGGAACCACTATGATCCAGAATGGGAGAAATGTAATTTTTAGGTGGGTTGTTTTGAATAACTTGGTTTTGTTGAGGTGGTGTCAAGCGTTGTGAAGAATTTAGAACCTGAAAATTTGATTGCATCTTAACTCCTGCTTTAGCACAAAGATGCTACAAGTAAAAAGAAAATTATACTCAAAGTTTGGCAATAATAAAATCAAATATCGATAACTTATTTCTGTATCCCCGCATCCCTACTCCTTTACATTTCACTAATTTGAAATCTTGTAATGAAATATCAAAAATTGGACACCATCCCTTTGCTCTTCACGTTTTTGGTATTGAACTCCCTATGAATAATGAAAGACAGACTTTTTCTTCAAATAAAATATTAGAACTAATACTTTTGAATTATTATCAATCAATTCCTGTTTCTTTAGAATGTTAGTTAACCTATAAGAAATATACTATTTTCTTAGATTTATTCCTAAATTACAAAGCCTTCTTCCTTTGCACTAATGCTCTTGGCATTGTACAATACTCACTACAGAATCTGAAGTCATGTGACGGATTTTTGGCAGGAGAGTTGGTTCTGCAGTCTTTAAAGTTGATACTTTCATAGTACCAGGAGCTGACTGAATTGGAATAGTGACCACTTGAGCAGTCCCTGTTAAAACAAATGTAATCCATATTACATATCCATTTTAAAAAATGTGTGCTTTATTTAATATACAAGAAGTTTCATTATAATCTCAGTCAATAATAATAATAATAATAATACACATAATAAAGTAAGAGGGAATCTAACAAGCAGCAACAACAAAAAGACACACTTAGTAACGTACTATTTATGAAACATAAAATTGTACAATTAATTTCATTCACCTCAGGAATATCCTAAAGCAAAGCCCAAAATAAGTTTACAAATAGCATTTAAATGTGAAAACTCAATTTTTCTTTCTAATCCAATGGAGCAAAGTACAGTGCTCTATCATAACAAAAGTTTGCTCGCACACGTTCAAGTAAAAATTATTTGACAGCACCTTAACTCCACACCCAGATCGCCTATTGCTGAACTTGATGAATAATATAAATGCATTATTACCAAATTTTTTTATAAATCTCAATTTAATGCCATTAGCAACTCTTGACACTCAAATAATCTGACTAGAGAAAAACCTTAAGTTTTTGTTATTCTTACAGTAAGAACATAATAATCAGATCTCTAGTTTATATTACATAAAAAAAATATTGGTTTTCAATACATACACAAATTGTGGATGGCTTCACTCTATCAGATCAAAAAGTAATAAGCGACTTAATTTTTCATAGGCAATTCTTTAGCGCCCCGATGCATGTTTGTGATAATAATATGTCAAGATGTACTTCTATTATTATGCCACAGAAGTTTTCTGCATTACTAAATACATTGCGTAGGTTTAGATTAATCATAGAATACTAGCATGCATAGAGCCGTGGTGGTTGTTGAAAGTGTATGAAATGCATCTTATGGATTATAATATATAGTTTGAGTAACAGAGTATTGCTCCTTCCCCCGTAGATTATTTTCAGTTAAGTATGCAAATTCATTCGCGAGATCTCAAATAACACTCTTACAATTTATTGAGATAGGTAAATGTATTTTTTGTGGACTTATGGATAATAATACTTCGAGTATGCGATAAGTGTGTGTAGAAAACTGATATTTATGCTTAGGTTTTTTAGCTATTTCGAATAAGTCAATTGCTTAAACACCTCTTTGTTATATATTAAGAAATTAGTAAAATTATCATTACACAATAGCTATTTAGTATGAAGTATTTAAAGAAAGTTTTATTAGTTCCGACCGCGTGTATATTGAAATAGTAATACATCATATCTTCGTTTAGGGAGTTCGTGTCCATTTTATAGTAGTAAAATATATCTGTATCTCAAAGGTTTGCATACGAATTAAGTACTATCTGACTTCACAGTTCCTGAACGCTGAAACCTCTATTAATAATATTATAACAATCCTTGGGATGGCTTAGTTATTCAGTTGTGAGTCCTCGATGGTACTCTAAAATGATCTGCACTATGAATTGGTGTTATTATTGTCTCAGGCACACGAGTAGCGCTGATGCCGCAAAATTTAAAGTCGTTCTAGGCCTTCGTTGGGGTTAACTGCGGTATTTACATTGTTCAGATCTGGATGCCGGAAGTGCAGCCTTGCAGTCCCTCTGCTGCAGTGTTTAGGCAGAAACCTTTCTTCATTTCTGTATATCTTCTTTGCCATGTCCCAGCCCTGTGCTTTTGCGTGATCTGATTTATCCCCTCCATGACGTGGTGAGCAATCCGGTCCGTAGTAGAGCAAGTTACTCGACTTGAGGTTTTTTGAAGCTTATGTTGGTGTGTTCATGGAAAATTTTCGGAGCCTTGCAGTGTTCGAATAAGTCATTCGGATGAGCGTTATAAGTAACTTCAGGCAAAGCTCCCTCAAGTCTTTCATTCATTATTAAAGTATTAAAAAAAGGTATCTACAACAGATGAGTCCGTGCGTACTTGCAAACCTAAAGTTAAGTGTTACTGTAGGAATGTCTTTGGTGCGCAAGGCGATAATAAGAGTTTTTTGGCAGGTAATGTGTGATTACAGGGGTATGGAGCATGCAGCTGTTAACAGCCTTGTATGGCTTATTTGTGTATCTATGTGTATTAGGAGACGCAATGACTCTAACTCTCCACTTGTATAGCGTAGACGTTTACTACATCCCAGTACAGCGTGTTTTGAGACGAGCGCTTCAATAACAAAGTTACTGATACGGAGAATAGCTGAAAAGTATAGCGCTTCATTGAGTGACTTCGTGTGCAGATGGAGAAGGCTCCGAGTATGTGAGAAGTTTTAGGTAAATGTAGGAGGAGAGAGAAGCAATGTGAATAATTACCTTGGCAAACAAACGTGTTTTACGCTACAGATTGTTACATGTATAGCATTTCTTCAGAAAGAGAACACCGAAACACTTTAGTGCCTTTCTTCCGTGTGGTTTATTTTCTTTCACAAGCTCAACTCTTGATTGTGATGTAATGATATGTATCACTTGTGAAAGGTTATATTTAGCTTGGAGATAGATAATAAAGTGATATAATAATAATGAATAAGAATAATTAAAAATTATAGTTTTCCAATAATATATTTTCATTGAGCAGCGTCGTTTTAGTCTGTCATCTGCTGAGTGTCCTTATTCAACTATGACTTAAATCTAATGACTTTTTTATGATATTACGAATGGCTCAGCAATTATATCGCTATATATTACGTTGACGATTCTCTTCGATTTCAGAAATGATTTCATCCCCTCATAATTGTAATCCAGATTCGTTTAATCATTGTCACATTAATGTACATATCAATCAAGATAATTCTCATTTATAACACAAATTTTGTGTCTAGCCTCAGAAATTTATAAAACAAAGGTGTCTTTTCTGTCTAGTCTGCCCAAAGATGTATACATGTGTTGATAATAAGTTTAATAATTGTTAATATTTATATATTCGTGTGTGAATCTAAATTTTTTTGAGTGCCTTTATTAGATATATTGTACAATAAACGCACTATGTATCTATTCAAAATATGAATTGCGTAATGCTTACTTTATATATTAGATTTACCGTGGTCGAGTGAAGTGAAATCTTGTTGGTAGTTCCGTGTGCGGTAGCGATCAAAATATTGTAACATAGTGTTAGTATTAGTTAACCTTAATAATAAATGTAATATTCTGAGCGTGAGCCTGTGTACTTGCTGCTCAGCAGTTGAAATTGTGTGGCTATGATATTATGTCCCTGAGGTAGTGAGTGTTAGGCAGACACAAATAGGAGGAAGGTGAGGTTAGAGTAGTATGTAGGAGGTGATCTCAGAGTGTCTTGCTTCACCGTCGTCCTACTCTAGAAATGCTTGAGTGTAAAGATGTCGTCGACCGTCAGTTCGTAATTAGTTTTGCGTAATAGTATCTGACATAATAACGATATGATTACAGTTAGTTATGATTTTGTATGAACAGATTATATAGATGACCATAAATAATAAATAAATTTTAGAGAGTTGACACATGAATCAGTCAAGTATTGCTAGCATCAGTAATATATGATCACTTACAGTCTATTCGCCAGTTGAAGGTTATCTCATGATCTGGGTTTGTTGTGTGGCCATGATGATTTAGCGTGATTTACAGCTCACATCATATATTATATCCATGTTATTCGCCATATATATGTGGTTGCGTGTTAGTACTTTTATAGACTAGATGATAATAGGTGTCTTATTGTTTTCTGCATACTAATTAAGCAGTTAGGCAGCTTTATAATATTCAGAGTGCATATATCACTAAGACATATGTTATATCGAACAACTTTTATATATAGCTAATATTCCATTGTAGTCTCATGTCTTCATAGAATTATGATGATTGAAACATATTAACATAATATAATTACTAGAACAATATTTACTAATAAACTCTTCACATGTCTCAGAGTTTCCACTATCTCTCCTCTATATGACCTGAGTGGTACCATACAGACAATTCGATTGATTTATTATGTTTGCATAATTTAGTATATCTCTGCTAATAATGCGCTACACTAATATGGAGAGAGTGAGTCGCCATCTTACAGGAATTGCGTAAAAATTTGATATCTAATTAACTTCTTTTGTGTCTTGGCTAAGTGAGATTTCGAACTGTTCATAACTATATTCCTCACTGGAGTGATAATTTGGCCATTGGGTTAGACATCTATATGTCACCTTCGGTGAAGATTTGTGTTTGTAAATTAAACAATGAATATGATCTTGACCGATTTCTATACGTGTGTATATGTGCACGAATTGTAGTAGTGTTATTAATTGATCGTAACATGTCATTTTTTGCAGTCTTATTAATACTCTATATTCATATTCACACTCGTGCGAGTATCATTTTAGATTATATCTATATTTCTAAAATTTTGAGGTGAGTGGTTTGAGAATAAATAATATAGTATAATATACAGCCTGAGCAAAGGATTTTTTATTTTAAGCAGATGAGCACCCGACAACCCACATTTATTTGGGGTAAATAATACTTATTACTAACAGTCTCTATGTGCTGTATTTTACTCACTCTGTTACCAGTTCCTTTGGAGCCCTGAAAGCTGAGTGTATCGCAGCACTCAACTGTCAGTATTAGTATGACTGTTTAATCTTTGAAGCAGGTTATGTTAAGAACAGGCTATTCACCTCTTGGTAAAAAAATTAGGAAAAATCAAGAATTTTTTTGAGTGGGGAAGAAACATCGCATTTCTTTAAACTTTATTATGTAGATTTTTTTCTAATACATCAGTGACACTATTTAGTTTTGGTAAATGAATAATTGTGTGTGAGCTTATTGTTATTAATTATGAATGTTGTGAAAGTAGCTATTCAGTTAAATTTAGAAGGGTCAATCCCAATTGTGTTGTGAGTTCGATACAGTGATAGTATCATAGTTAACTATTTACTAGTCATAATATTTAGTATCTGTATGCTTTATAGCAGAGTTTCTAGAGTTCGGTTTGTTGTGGTGTTTTGTGGTTTTGATGTGTCGACGAGGCTTGTTGTATTAGTTCTTATTCTCAAAAAATTCTGGTAGTTGTTCTCAAGTTGAATGTCAAAATCGGTTCATGGCAAGCAGAGGTTTGCTTTCAGTGGTGTGAAATGTACCGCAATATCCAGATCTCAGTTAATCATCATTACACATTCACAAAGTTGGCATGTTGCGTACAGATTATAATTTATTATCAAAGAGGGCTGTAGTTCCTCAGTCTTCTATTCTCAAAAGATAAACAACTAGTGTTGCCACACTTTAGGAGGCTTGTGCTTACTTTTTAGGTGAAGTAACATTTCTATGCTAGACATTAAAACAAGCACCAGCAGTTTTACTGTTAATGAATTTTAAAAAGTGTGGGCAATAATCAAAGAATCGCTTCTTTAATGTTCAACAGCCGATAATTATTTGCTCTGCGAATATGCACTTTTATTTACAATATAGCAGGAGTGCTGCATTCTGGTCAATTGGCAATCACCCAAAGCAAGAGAAACTCTTTCATTTTCAGGTTCACAAATTCTTCTTAAAGAAATGGCCAGAAATAGAATCTGCTGTAGCTGTAAATAAATTACCATTAAGTTTTACCCATACCTCAAATCAAATTTTTCCAAAATCCTGACATTTTTCTAACACACGATTTTATACATCTTAGCAAACTTTGTGAGGTATAAAACATGTTGAACTCAGTTTTCACTGTTTTTATTGTGTGAGAGAGTTGGAATTTATTTTGACTACACTCCCACTCATATGTATATATAAAAAGAACTTTAATTTTTATATGAGAAGCAAAATACAAAAATAATTTTGGCCCTTTCAAATCCTACTATCTCTTTGTTGGTCAAACTTCATTTGCTAACTCTCTTACATGATAGAAAATGTCACACACAACACATGAAAAAAAAGAGTTGATATTGACAAAAGACACTAATTCGAGTAGATATCTCAGTTTTGTAATTTTTTTTTATTATTGCAAAATATATCTTAAAGACTTACCTAGTATGACAAAGAAAAGAACAGAAAGGAAGAAGGAAGAAGGAAAGAGAATGGAAAGAAAGCTTTAAAAAAAGTTTAAGTCGCTAGGATGGGGAAGAGTTATTCTAATTAGAAACTTAATTACATTTCCATTTCAATATGCCTACAAACTTTTTCAGCTACAGAACTGTGAGAATTGCAAAAAACATTTAATTTGCAGATCAACCAAATTTTATTACTACAATTTTCATATACAACCAAAAACAAAGTTACAAAAAAGGTTAGGGTCTATTTAGGCATCTATGCAGTATTAATTATATTTCATAATATTTTGTACATAATTATTGCAAGTAAATTAAAGTAATTGTCGGAGGGGGCGCGAAAAAAACCCTACAAACTATATTTAAACTGAAATTGCATCTAAAGTAAAAACAAAAACAAGAAAATGACATGGTTGTGCACATGTGCAAAAGGAAAACTTCCAAGCAGAAGTTTATTCACTGATACTATGGATATACCCGAGATTATATTTCGTGCGTGACAAGCACACAGCCGATAAGCGATCCAAAAGCACGAACTCAATGCTACGCTGCAGCGGAGAATCCCACGCTGAGAGGCAATGGGGCCTTCAAAAAATAAACAGCTAAATTTACTCTTCTCGACCAAAACATCGCCTCCCATAACTCTTCATTTCACGTTCCGGGGAGGCGGCGGGCTGTTGAAAGGAACACCCAGGCCGCACTTAAAGCCGATATAGCCTTGCGCAGGACCGCGCACGGTAATCGAATTACCAGGCGGCGGCCGCGGCCGCTGCCAACGGCCGGCCTCTTTTGCACACGCAATATAACGATCGCTGCTTAAA